CCTTGTTTAATTTAAAAGTATAGCTCAGTGCTGCCACCTCCTGACGGAAACTTTACATCATCCAAGCCTATTTTACCCTCAAGTGAACTCAGTGAACCCTGCAGTTGGCATGCAATTCAATGTCTACAGAGGTAGTCCTCGACTTATGACCACAATTGAACCCAACATTTATGTTGCTAAGCGAGACTTTTGTGAAGTGAGTTTTGCCCCATTTTACGACCGTTCTTGCCACAGTTGTTAACTAAATAGCTACAGTAGTTAAGTTAGCAACTGTGGAGTGACTCCGGCTTCCCCATTTACTTTACGTGTCAGAAGGTTGCAAAAGGGGACCGCATAACCGCGGGACACCGCAACCGTCATAAATACGAGCCAGATGCCAAGAAGCTGAATTTGGATCATGTGACCATGGGGATGCTGCAATCGTCATGACGGTCACTAAGCAAACACTTGTAAGTTGAGGAAAATCTGTTTTTTCCCAATCTTCTGAACTTAACACATGAAATCTCCATGGGGAGAGGTGTCAGTGTTGGGATTATCTTACCTTCACTACCGGTTCCCAAATGTGAGTGCGCTCACACATGCACCACCTTCTGTCCATGTGCACCACCTTCTGTCCATGTGCACCACCTGTGCATGTGCATCACCTTCTGTGCATGTGCACCACCTTCTGTCCATGTGCACCACCTGTGCATGCGCATCACCTTCTGTGCATGCGCACCACCTTCTGTGCATGCGTACCACCTTCTGCGCATGTGCACCACCTGCGCATGTGCACCACCTTCTGTGTGCATGTGCACCACCTGTGCATGAGCACCACCTTCTGTGCATGCATACGACCTTCTGTGCATGCATACCACCTGTGCATGCGCACCACCTGCGCATGTGCCGAAGGTCGCTCATTACATTGGGGTGGGTAGGCGGAGCCTCCAGCCACTGCCACTACCGGTTCGCCCGAACTAGTAAGAACCAGCAGAATACCTCCACTGGNAAACAGTTTCGACTTTGTTATTGCAAAGTCAGCAGTTTGGGTTGTCAGTGGATTTTTGTATCCTTGCTTTCATGGCATTGGTTTGTAGTGCTTGTTAGTGCAGCCAGTATTAAACCTTCTGTTTCTTTCTTGATAGTTCCCATGTTAAGCCATGTCCATGTCAAGTTGCCATCACATTTTCCTTCAATGTTTTTCAAGTGCTGTCCCTGCAAAGCTTTGGTTTTCCATCTATTTAATCTGTCATCGAACTGTTTTTCCTTATATTCTGCCTTTTTAATGATGGTTATAATGTTGTGACCATTTCAAATCCTGGGAAATTACAAAACCCCAAAACTTGAAGGATTCTACTACTGATACTGAGCTGTTGAATATAATAAGAGGTGATAAAATGGAAGGGCTCCTTCAGCTCCAGATTATTTACAACTGCACTACAGAGTCAGTTGTTCAACCTCCTCTTTGTGTGCTTTAAAATGGCATTACTAATTTCATTTTTTCCTCTATCTATGTGGTGCATATATTTTCCTATTTCAATCAACTTAAAACAGTTACATCTCTCAACCAGGAACCTTATATGCTGTCAAAATTTGAAATATATCTGCAGTTCCAAAAGCTGTCTACTTCTTTGTTGAGGAAAATATAATGTCAAATACTGTATTCACTTATGAAATTTAATCTGAACTAAGAGCAAATGTTGCTCTTGATTATGAGCCGCTTGATCATACTGGGGGAATAGGTAAGATATTACGTATTACATTTAAATTGCTGTTTTTTATTTTATTTTTGTATCCCCTCCCCTTTTATTGTTAGCCGCCCTGAGTCTCTCGGGAATAGGGCGGCATACAAACCAAATAAAATCTAAATCTAAATAACAAATCTAAAGATAGCAACATTTGTAGTTTTGACATTGATGAAAAATAGTTTTGTGACAATCCTTATTTAGGCACTCATATACATCTCTGCTGTATTTATAGTTTAATCATAATTTTACTCACCTTTCAATTTGTAATCAATTTCTGTACATGTATTTGTAATGCATAAGCTACATTTATAAGCTATTTATAAAACAGAATGTTTAATTTAGAAGCTACAGCAGAAATAGTTTTTCTGTATACTCCTGCTGTATTATACTATGTACTTGGAAAGTTAATGGAAGAGCTTTTGCTCTTTCTCTTTTTTATTGTAGCAGAATAAAATGGACTTACAGAACTATCTTTGACCAGAAGTGCACAACACTGGATTCCCGCCATAAGCATCTTATGAGGATTCCATGCAACAGAAGTGGCCCTATAAAAGGGAGAAATAGAATAATTTTTAATGAGAATATTAAAATTAAAAAAATAATTAATAAATATAAAATTCATATTCCATTTCATACTGCCTTCATTTTAAAGTATATGCACAAATATATGTTCAGATAATTTAAAAAGAAATCTCTCTTCATTCCTGAGTTGAAATGCATGCCATCCATCCCTGAGTTGGGAGAAAAAAAATACAAACTGAAATTTGCTATTCCCATTACTAATCCTTCTCCTCACACTTTTCCTCCCTTTCCTGTTGCTGCTAAATCACCAACCTTTCTTCCAATATAATGGATAACAAAGCCTAATAGCTTTTATATGTTCTGAGACTGCCATTAGAACTGTAATAAGGGAAGAAATACCCTTTTAATCTAAGGTGACCAGATTTTCAGTTTGGAAAAGAGGGACACCCTTGACCGGGGGGG